ATTTTGGGTCACAGGTTGAGGTTCTCCTGTCCATGATATGACTTCACTTCGTCTGAGGGTTATTGCTTATTATTTCCTAAAGAAAACATTGCGGACGTTATTATTTCCTATCCGAGGGTTCAAAATTGAAATAAAATCCACAGGAATTTGAGGTGCGAGGGAGGATGAGTCCAAGATAGGATTGTTCAGAGTCTTCAGACCCCAGGGAGGGACAGAGCAATCCAAAGCAAAAAGGCAGAGACTTTGATATCAGAAGCTATTGGAAAGAGAAGAAGAAGGGTTCCCGAATACTGTGGGTGTTTCTGAGGAATGGCAGAGCTTTGCTTGGTGGCTTCACATGGCTCCCATCCCGGGCTATTTGTCCATCCAACTGAACAAGGAGGCTTAGGCAGGGTCTTTAAGGTAAGCCTATCATCCTCTACTCAAAATTTTCCCCCTTCTTGCTTTCTTCTTGAAATTTTGATTATACATATATACTATGTGTAATTCCAGATGGCTAAAAAGATGGGAATTGGGAATACAGATTGATATCTGGTGGTTGAGTGTGTTGTGTTTAACGCTAAAGGGTGGTTCCTTTTGGATGTTGTTTGTTGGGTTGAAGCCCGTTTTCATGTTTGCCGGTGAATCTGCAGGCATCCAATTTTGGCCAGTGGGTGGCTTGCAATTTATGTTTAAAATCATATTCATTCCTACTCTTATTTGGCCTATTATGATTTTGCTGGTTTTTCTCATAATGTTCTTTTACTATTATTGAATACCTATGGGTTTTTGGAGAACTGCTGATTTGCAATTTATGTTTAAAGTCTGCTTTATTTCAGCTCAAATTCAACTCACTGAGCTCCCTTCCCAGTGCTGGACTTGATTACTAGTTTCAACATGTTCAAAATTTTTGGTTTATTGTAGGTTGCTACGCTGTTAGTTGTCAAGTGGATAAGAGGTGCTTATCACTTACAAATTTCCTTCCTGTATTGTTTTTATACCACTATTGCCACCCATAAACATCTGTGAGCCCGGATTGAAATTTGTATAGATCTAAATCTTGCAGATTAACAGTATCTGTATTTGATGACAATCAGATTATGTTGTAGTGACTATTGATGCAAAAGCGGATTATTGATTTGGTCTGCTGATTTCTTCACAGGGTTATCAACCTTTCCTGACAAACACTGGATCCTATCAGGGTTCTTTGCAGCCATGGTATTACAAACCAAGGCTGCATTGGACAGAGGATCAATCAAAACCATCGACTGGCATGTTGGACAGTAATGAATTCTTCAGGGCTGACTCAACTCCTCGAAGACCTCTACTCATTGATGTTCAAGGTATACTATTCACTATCGCATTATCTTCTTCAGCCTTGCTTAACCTGTCGTATGTGTCTCTATTGAACATTATAAACAGCAGTGCTATTCCTCTAAGTACATGCGGGACGGACTCATGCACTGTACCGTACTAAATTCCCTGGCAAAAACCGGTGCCTTTTAATGCATGATATTATCTTTGTAATTCAGCCAATAGTTTGATTAAACATGTTACTCCCATATCATGCACTTGATTAGATTTGGCAGCCTTTGCAGTTGCGTGGTGCTTAATTAGATCTGTATCATTGTGTTGTTTGACAACAGACCTTCCTGCCAACTCTCTATTCTTCAGCTCGGGGATTGTCAATCAATGCATCATACGTGAGAGGGTCCTGAGATACCTCATGTCTGGACTAAATGAAGAAGAAAGAGGTGGTGTAGATTTAACTTTATTCTATGATTTGGTGGGACCTCAAGCACCAACCCTGCATATGCCTCAAGAACCCGTCTTACCTTTTTATGGGCGGACCTTTCTTGATTCCGAGGCTCAGCCTTCTCTAGTCTCACTAAGTAGTGAAACTTTGTCTGAGAAACCTCTCTTTGCGGGGGATGTGGGCCATGTTTCAGAAATTACTTATGACCCGTATCATCCTGATGACCGACTTTCAATTGCCAGCTCTGGGACTGAGATGGAGGATATACTTACTGCTCTTTCTAAGTTGTACTTGTCAAAGAACTCGATTAAGTTGAAGAAGCAACAAATGGTGGTCCCTTACTTTGATAGGTACCAATAGCTGCTTTTACTTCGTAACTAAGTTTTTCTATAGGACATTAGTGTTCTGATATTCTGCAAACTTTATTATCATTCTAGAGACATGTTGACAATTTAGTGAGTTTTTTCCTTTTCCCCCCTTAATCTACTTTATTGCATCTTCCTACTGGAGTTTTACAAATTGCCCATATTCTTGCTTGTAATTTATGACCTGTGCCACAATCAACTTATGGAACAGGCGGACCAGAAAAGCACCAAGGAATGATATTACTGGATCACCTCCAAAGTTTGGAACTGTGAAGAGGTAGTTTTATGCGTTAGCCATTCAAAGTTGTGCACTTTGCTTTCACTTTTTTTATTTTCTGGTTTTTGTGTTAATTTGTGTTAACGATATGAAACTAAATGTGTTAATTGAGGCCAAAGTTTGTGAAATGGAAATGACAAATTAGTTCTGATGTGAGAGAAACTTCAGTAACCACCAAATTCACGAGAATACATCTCATATATAATCAAAAAAACCTATTACAGACTGCAAAAATTTATCAATAGTACCTTTTTATGTACATTCTAAGTCTTCAGTTCAACAGTATTACTTGTGCAATCAGAATAAATTACAAGTAGTATCACATGTTGGCATGCAGCTTGCAATCGATGCTTTGTCCTGAATGCGTGTCATAATCCATTGGTCATTAAGCCTTTACTAGTAGTTAACTGTTCCAGTGCTTCAGGTTTTTACACTAAAGAATCTATAAGTTAAGGAAACAGAAGGTCTGGATGGTTTGTTCATTTTTGAGATGACCCTTCCATTTCAGACTATTTCCTGTTAGTCCAGAATGTCAATCAAGACAAATCCCAGTAAGAGCATACTCCAATAGCTCCACTAAAAATCTGAGATTCTTGAAAGTTTGACCACTATGAATTGTAGTAAATATCTATTATCGTGATGTCATGCACTTCATTTTCTGCTCACATGCAATGTGCATCATTTCATGAAACATATGATTATGCATATATATGAAACTACACTAAACGTAAATGTAAATATTTGCATTTGGGCTGCCTGTAGGTCTTCTAGGAAGTAAAAACATGCCGCAGAAGGTGTGTTATTTCTAGTTGAAAATCGTAACTTCACTATTTCATTCTTAGGAGGTAGTGTTGATTTTATTAGCCTAAATGAGCGTGGGCCTGACCCTGCGCAATTATATATTGGTTTCTCTCTCTGACATCTTATTGTTTCATAGTTCTGAGAAAGTTAAGTATAGGGCGACTTCGAATAAAAAGAGCAATATGAAAGCTGCAAAAGAGCGGGACCTTTACAGAAAGAACTTGTTCCATGCATGCGAAAGCCTTCTCTCGTTGACCGTTGACAAGAAGCTACATGGGAGAACTGCAATCCTTTCACTTAAAAAATCAGGCCCCGAACTGCCAAAGGCTCTCACACAGTTTTCTGCTAGCATTGCTGGAACTGGTCTTGCTGTTCTCTTTTCAGTTGTCTGCAAAGTAGCCTGTGCTAGGGTGCCCTTCTGTGCATCCAAACTCCTGAACACCGGGTTGGGTATTGGACTTGTTTGGCTTTCTTGGGCGGTAAATAGATTGGGAGACACTGTTATTTCGATCAAGAATTCAAACAAGTTGGATGTGAGAGAGGAGGAGATTATGAATAAGTTGGACAAAAGCTTAAAGGACATATACTTCCGAGCTGCTGCTATAATGACCGTGGCTGTTCTTAGGCTCGTATGAGTTCGATTTGGAAGTTCTTAGAAGTCCAGTCAGTCCAGTTTATCGAAGGAATTAGCAGGGACCAACTTCGTTGCTCTTTACCTGAAACAATGTAAATCCGCATCTAATCATTCAACTAAATTTTGCAGTTTGCTCGTCATGTGTAACACTAGGGAAAAGGACATTGCATCATGTATATGGAACTTTTTGGGCTCCTCGTCTATCCTGGCTTTCAAGATTTTGGATGCGTAGTTGCTTCTTATTTTGACAGTTGTAATAGTATGTCTTGTCTCGCAAGGGAATGGATAATTGAATACTCGTTTGAAGATCAGAAGACTAAGTCCCTTTTTTGAAGAAAAAAATTTAACTGAAAGGTTGTAATATCTGTTTCACTATTTACAATCTATGGCCAACTTTTCTTTTAGAACATATAAGTTAAAAAGGGATAAAGTAATAATGCTATAAAGTAAAAAGGTATTGTTATCTAAAATTTGTTAATATGCTGAATTGAATAAGCTACGAAGATAAAATGACTAGAAGATAAGAGTAGAGAGTAAATTGACAGCAGTGGATATGATTTTAAAAAAAATTAGGTGATAATAACCCTTTTTATAAATGCTAAAGATTTTGTACACACCGAAGTCCTCAAGTAAAAAATCATTGTGCTACTTCATTAGAGTCCAAAATCATTATGCTACTTCATTGGCCACGCTACCTCTTGGCCAAAAATGGATTAGAAATTAGGAGCCTACTGCTGTACCATGTACCGTTTGGTCCTTGTTGGTTGACACAGGGGCCTCTATATGCGGTTTGGTGTCTTGGTCCCTCGTTGACGACATAGAGGCCTTTTAGGATAATTGAATATTTAAACTTAATGAATTCAAACTTTAATATATTTAATAGCATTCAATATTATAAAATTGAACATCTAAATTAATTAAACAGCACTAAATTTCCTCTACAAAATTTATTCCCAAAAATAAATAATAACCTATTTACTTATCACTTAATCTGATATACATTGAAATATATCGAATTTAGTAGTTAATAATTTAATAACTTAATAAATTAAAAATTCAGTTTTCACCCTTCATAGGATAGTTTGTAGAACACCCACGCATTTAACTTTTCAATCGACACATGCCATCATTGCACGCAGTACACGACGGCATTAACAATCCTCCCGGCTGCTCGAGGACCATGAGTACTGTTTGAAAAGAAAATTGCTCATTAATGATACGGACAATCACATTTCAAAGCAATCACAACTATGTTGACCAATAAGCCAGAACCACAAATGGTGGAGCCTTTGAAAAGGTATAATCACGTTCATCTCTGCTCAGTCGTTTTCACATAGCCAAGAAAAACGCGTCTACATATGCACTGACCAAGATGTCAGGTTTCTCAAAATATATCAACCAGAGTTTCAGTTTCATCCTCTTCAAAGGACATAAAAGTTCCATTGCATGCATACCTCAGGTCAGTACTTTTGAAACAACACCAGCACCAACTGTTCTCCCTCCTTCCCTCAAAGCAAATCTTTGACCTGCAACAATCGATTGATTAGATTAGCTCTGTAAAATACTTTTCTGGCCACTTGAGAAAGTTTCACATTACCTAATTACCACTATAGCCTGAATTATGAAAAGCTGAGATAACATGAAAACTAATGGATCAGAAGACGTCCAGACAAGGGCAGTATTCAGTAGTGACAAAATCATAAAGGTATTAGCAGGTCCATTTATTTTACAATACTTCAAAAGTCTCCCATGGCCCATTTATTTTTACAGCATTCTCTACTTAAGGAATTTTTAGAATTCCAATAAGAACAATGAACTATTCATGTGGCTGAGAGCCCTCAAAGCCCAGGCATAATGATTTGAAATCATTAGGGGCAGGCTCTACCACTGTGCTGTTATGGTAGCATTTAGCAAAAGGAGAAAATTACATTTTTCAACCTAAATCAAAGCCTTCCCTCCAATTACAATTCATCTTTGCATAGCATATATGCTTGCTCATATATGTGAATTGCAAAACCACATAATTTCTGTCACCATGAAAAGAAAAACAATTGCAACTGATATTAATAAAAGCTGCCTCCTGAAGGGAGTCCGTGCCAAACAAAGATTTTTAGAGATATGAAAAAACCTCAGAGTGAAGGCATGGAAAAGTAAATAACTTAAGTTAATGCATGCTGACAAAGCACAATGTAGAAGTCGAACTCATGTAGCCACATTTGCAAAAAGGCATAGCAATGAAGATAACATGACACTGGAAGGCAAAATCATCATACTAGAAGAGAATCAGCTAAAATTTAAAAACATTAGAATAAGCATATTGGTTGTTCTAACCTGCTTCCAGGGGGACAGGAGAAATTAGCTCAAAAACAGCAGTTACATTGTCCCCCGGCATAACCATCTTCACATTTTCAGGCAACTCCACCTTACCAGTGACATCAGCAGTCCTCAAGTAGAACTGAGGCCTATAATTTGAGAAAAAGGCAGTGTGGCGACCACCCTCATCCTTTGTGAGAACGTATATTTCTGCCTCAAATTTCTTATATGTTTTAACTGTCCCAGGCTTTGCAATAACCTGTATGATTAACAATATAAAAGACATGGAACAAAATTTGGTTTAATTATTCGGATTCACAATTAAGCTCTAGCACCATAGATTATGGTACCACTCTAAATGCCCACCTCCCTCAATAACCCATTCTTCTAGTTATCAAGAATTAGAAGACAGGAAAGCTCATGTCATCTAAAGATAAAATATAGAGGAAATAGTTATCAATGAGCTAAAACAGGACAAAAGGTAGTAACTTCAAACTTAACAAATGACAAGCAACCTACAACATGTAACAAATTTACACAAGATATTCATCTCAAGTTATTAACTAGCAGTAAATCTGCTTCTGCACTAGCCTTTTTTCATGACACAAACCTGCCCTCGCTGAATATCTTCTCGTTTCAAACCACGTAAAAGGAGTCCAACATTGTCACCAGCCTGGCAAAGAAAGAAAACAGTGCTGTAAGGCATAAAATGTATGTGTATAATACAAGACAGAGCATTTTAGTCCCTTACTTGTCCATGATCCAAGATCTTTTTGAACATCTCAACACCAGTCACAGTGGATTTCAGATTTCCCTGTACCACCAGGACTTATATCATGAGCATAAATTACAAATAACAGTTGGTTATTGCCACTCGTGGAGGCAAAATTTCATACAAAGGTTCATCTGGTTTGACCAAGTGCATGCACCATATGTTACTATAGTTTGTGAAGTCCAAGAAACAAAACAGACCAATATGGAGCATGTAATTCCTTCCAAAGATTAGTGGTAATGAAGGATTAAGTTTAGACTTCAAGCACACCCACCTGTACATCTAGACTTGTACGACCAGTAAATTATAAAAGTATAGTTTAAAACTCAACCCTCTCCATCCAGATTCTGAAAATTAACTTTACCCCGATAACAAAATATAGGACAACATTTCAACAAAATGTAATGTTGACCATAAGATCTATTGATTCCATAAAGAGTGAAAAAGTACAATAATCCACCACATCAAAGAACCATAGCATAATAGTCGCCAAAAACCACTGAAGCAGTGAAAATATTGACACTGTCAATCCCAATTGAAAAGTTTAATGACAATATAATAAATGACTAGGAAGCTTCCCAAGATAAAACCAAGAATGATAATTTCACGATACACATTACCTGCATCAGCCCCAAAATCTCCACTTCATCCCCAACTTTGATTGTACCTTGTTCAATACGGCCAGTCGCAACAGTACCTCGTCCCTGACAAATAACCAGAACCAATCAAAACACCATGAGAACTATGCCTCCTGGCATTAACAATTCCTCCAAAAGCAGCAAAAGAATAATTCCATACATAGCTAAGAGCCATATACGGCCAGTAAACAAGGAAGGGATGAGCGTTTCAGTATCCATCTGATGCACTCATGATTTGAATGCACAACATAAACAGGCTCTTCAGTTCAAGGAGGGCAATAGTAAGTTTCAAAGGAAAGTGAAACAAACACACTGCTGTCTAACAGACATTTACCACCGAATAAAGAGAAATGCAATTCACCAACAAAAATAAACTGTTAGTGATGTACTTAAAATACCTGGAACATAGGATAACAAAAATTTCATACTTTCATAATGGAAAGTAAATCGTATTTACCTGGATGGAGAAAACATCTTCTATTGGCATTAGGAAAGGCTTATCAAGTTGACGTACAGGATTAGGGATGTATCGATCCACTTCATCCATCAACTTTAGTATAGCCTTCTTACCAATTTCATCATTTGTACCCTGTAAAGCAGATAATGCTGAACCTCTAATGATCGGAATTTCCTCCCCAGGAAACTTGTAGAAGCTAAGTAGTTCTACAAAAATGAGAAAGCACACATGTAATACACTTCCAAATGAAGCTTGTGGTATTAACTATTCAAGCTTCAAACATTCATCAATGCTTTCAAAAGGAAAACCAGCTTACCACGGAGTTCCATTTCCACAAGTTCCAGCAATTCAGGATCATCAACTGCATCGACCTTATTCAAGAAGCATACAATATACGGTACACCTACCTGAAAACCATAAAGAACACATTAAGTTACTAAACTGGACATCAGCTTAGTCTCTCACACTTGTTAAAAATATATAAAGGAGACACTGACCTGCCGTGCAAGCAGAATATGTTCCTTTGTCTGGGGCATTGGCCCATCAGGAGCAGATACAACTAGGATTCCTCCATCCATTTGCGCAGCTCCAGTAATCATGTTCTGACAAAAAAAAAGGCAAAGAAAACATTTATCTCATTGCACCTTTGTTTTTCCAATTGTTCGTTACATGAAAGAATTTTGTAATTAAAAAAATGTGCTTAATTGTGTTCTTGAGGATAGCTATCTCCATTCTTCATTTCAATCTTTTTATGTTCTTTCATAACTGTTCTATTTAAAAAAGCATATTATGCCCATCAAATCATGATTCAGGCAGATACTACACAGGTCTTACATGGTATAACAACCAAACTTACTGCCATGGAAATTAAATGATGGTGGAAGCAGAGAAAATTTCTAAAGCTTTAATAGTTGCACTTTTCAGTCTGTAAGCAGCTTGCTAATAGTAGACTTCACTCTAAAGCTGAATAGAAAAGAGCCAAATCATCTAGGAATAATATCAGTACCACCTATAGCATCCTTGACAACCAAATATTGGGAAAAAAATCAATTAATCTATATTCTGAACACATAAATTAATTTTATGGCTCACTTTAACATAATCTGCATGTCCAGGACAATCTACATGTGCATAATGTCTTTCCGCTGTCTCATATTCCACGTGTGCCTGCAAATTAGAAGTTAAAATAGGGAAATGGATGTGATAATTGGAGAGAAATGTTCAAATGCAACAATCCATAAATGAAAAAAGAGTCCAAACCGTTGCAATTGTAATCCCTCTCTTTTTCTCTTCAGGGGCTTTGTCAATTTCATCAAAGGCAACAGCCTTCGCCTTTCCATCTTCCGCCAGTACCTAATAAAAAGTCACATTCCCTCAAAAAACTTAGGCTGTGTAAAGTGAAAAAGAGGACAGGCAAGCTAAAAAGACTTACCTTTGTGATTGCAGCAGTTAGAGTAGTTTTTCCGTGATCAACATGTCCAATTGTTCCAACATTAACATGAGTCTTGCTGCCGGAACCCAAAACATGTAGAAGGTAAAAAAGAGGGAAACTTTAAATTCATTTGCAAGTTTGAGAAACAAAATTCCAAGGTTTTTTCCCCCCAAAACCCAGCACGAGAAACCAGAATCTTAGTGCGCAATTATGTGCATGAACTTCGCTACCTCTAGCTGTTAAAATTTCTGGATAGAAATAATACTCAGCATCATGCACATTCACTACAGAATACAATACACCCAAAAAGAAAAATCCTTCTGTGGTGCAAAAGGTACGAACTTGAGGGGCACATTCAACCCCAATAACACCAAAATTCCAACATGAAAAAGCACGCCCGGTCAATACTGAAAAAATCAGATGGATTCCGAACATAAAAGCCAAAAAAGAACCAAACTTGATTCAATCCAGTGACAGGCAAAAGAGCATAGCGCTAAAATGCAGCACCAAGAAAAAGGAAATAAAAAAAGTTCTACAGCATATACGAAGTAAGAAAAAATATGTAACAGAATGAAGCCAAGGCTTACGTTCGAGTAAAGGTGGCCATGGATCTCCACCATGGGTTGGAGGCGGTGGACGCTTCATTTGCAGATAGGGATTCGGAGACAGAGAAGCGAGGAGAAACTAAAGATGCTCTACAACAAGAGTAGATTTGAGAAGAGAGAGTTAACAGTCGCCTGGAATTAGGCTTTCTAAATGCGACAGTGGCCATATTTAACAACAACAGAGAGAAAAACACAGCAGAAAATGTGACGGAGAATAATGAACTACCCTAACTGGAGGGGGACGAGAGGTTTTGGGAGGTTCTGCAGGAGAGTATGCCTTTGCCTACTGCCCTGCTCTCTTTCTCTCTCTTCAGGGTTTTAGAGCCGTCGAAATTACCAATTAGGGCTTGTCAATGTGCTGCTCCTAACGACTGCGTTTCATGTATTCATTTCCTTTCTTTAATTCGAGAGAAAAAAAACCCTAAAGTATCTAAATATATTTGCGCGTTCCTTTTTTTTTTTTTTTTTTTGTCAAATATTTTATCTAACAAGAGAGGGAGTATGATTCAAGAATTGGGGATGAAAAAGGGCGATTAGACTCAGCTGTGTAAATTAGCAACATGTAATTGTGATTTCATCTAAAACTAGTATTTATCCTAAGCATTAGTACAGAGTTTCTTTAATTGTGATTATTTATGAACGAATAAATAATTCATCAACAATTAATATTTTTACATGTTATTTATATTTACGTTAAAAAAATGTATTCTTAATATTTCACTATCATATTAGTTTTTAGCTTCTTTATATGTAAATTTATTACAATGTGATAATTTCTATTAATTGTATAATGCATAAAAAAAAGAAATGACAAATATCTCATTATATTTATACTTGACAAAGTTAAATTCATCAAGTGCTTCAAAAATACTACTAATTATTAAAAATACCACAGCTCCAAACCGCCCCAAAGTATTGGCGTCCCAAAATCTTCTCAATTAATCATCCTCGTACTATTCTTTTTATTATTATTATTATTTTTATCTCGGTCGAACAGAACTAGTAATTTTTTTTTTTTTATCAATTGTCATCCTTACTTCTACTCCTATTCCTACTCTAATTAAGGGGAGGCTCAACTGAGCCTACGGAGAACCGATGAGAACAGAACCACTATCGGACCAGACGAGTGCACTACGCACCCGTCTGGATTTGAAGAAGAGTCACAAGAGTGACATTTTAGTAGGAGGCTGTCAAGCCTCTGGATCCAATGTCATCCTCAAATCTTGAATTGTTTCTGAATCTGATGATAATCGTGAAATTTGGGAAAGGGAAGGGGTCGGAAGAGAAAGGGAGAGAGTTGGGAGAGAGTGAGAATAGAGAGAGAAAGTATTGAAAAGAGGGAAATTCTGTTATAAACTTCTGATACCCTTTCCACCAATCAGAGCGGTACAAATAGGATGGAATAACCGACTCATTAAGTTGACAACTAATTCTGTTATTCCTATCGCACGACGTCGTCCTGGTTTATGCATGCCTAATGCGGCGTCGTCCTACTTATTACTGAATCTACTGAATTATAAGCAAAACGACAACGTATGTAATCAACTGGAACAATTTTACAATCAATTTCTGCGTCCTGACATTGCCACCCTCTTTGCAACAGTCTTGTCCTCAAGACTTGAACTGAGGAAACTGGGCTTGGATGAAGTCCTTGTCTTCCCACGAAGCTTCTTTCTCGCTGAGATGGCTCCATTTGATCAAATACTGAATGACTGATTGGCCCTTTCTCATAATCACCCTTCTCCTAAGCACCAGTTCAGGAAGTAAGGGGCATTGATCATCCAAGTCAGGTTCAGGTAGAGTGGGAGCAACTGACTGGAGGGGGTCTAATTTCTTTTTGAGCAGAGAGACATGGAATACTGGGTGAACGCGTGCCCCAGCAGGTAACTTGAGACGATAAGCTACTGGCCCAATCCTAGCTGCTATCTGGAAGGGACCATAGAATCTGGCAGATAACTTGAGACATTTCCTGATAGCTACTGATTGCTGTCTATAAGGTTGGAGTTTCAAGAAAACCCAGTCACCCACCTCAAAGGTTCTTTCCGTGCGTTTCTGGTCAGCAAAATGTTTCATTCTGTGTTGTGCCTTGAGGAGATGATCCTTGATACTACTGGAAATCCTTAACCTCTCCTGGAGTAACTGAGAAGTTGCTGGAATTATGGTATCAAGGTGAGGACCAAGAGGTAAGGGAGGAGGCTTGTATCCATATAATGCCTCAAAAGGGGTCATTTGCAAGCTGGAGTGGTAGGATGAGTTGTACCACCATTCTGCCAGGGGCAACCACTTACTCCAGTTGTGAGGGAACTCCCCAGTCATGCATCTGAGGTAAGTTTCCACACACTGATTAAGCCTCTCGCTCTGCCCATCTGATTGAGGATGATAAGCAGAGCTATACCTCAATTCTGTCCCAGCCAATTTGAAGAGCTCTTGCCAAAATGCACTAGTGAAGATCCTATCCCTGTCAGTGACAATAGACTCTGGCAGTCCATGCAGTCTAAATATATTGTCCAGGAAGAGCTGAGCCACTTGTTTGGCTGTGAAAGGATGAGCTAACACTAGGAAATGTCCTACTTTGGTCAGCCTATCAATGATGACCATCACAGTATCATACCCTTGAGATTCTGGTAGGCTCTCAATAAAGTCCATAGTGAGATGAGTCCAAGCTAATCGAGGCACAGGCAATGGTTGCAGCAGGCCAGGATAAGGGACATGTTCAGATTTAAACCTCTGACATGTATCACAGGCTTGAACATAGTTGATGACATCCTGCTTCATATTAGGCCAGTAGAACAAAGCTTTCAACCTTTGCCAGCACCCTCTTTGGCCAGAGTGCCCACCAATGGCAGATGCATGGAGAGCCTGGATTAATGTACCCCTTAGTCCAGTATTAGACCCCACATACAACTTTCCATTGTACTTAAGTAAACCATGATTCCACTCGTACTGAGATTGAGCCGCAGGATCCAGTAAGAATTGTGAAATAATGCTTTGACAGTGAGGGTCAGTATCATAACTCTTTTAAAGTTCTTGGATCCACAATGGCGTAACAGAAGAGATAGCTAAACAGGACCCTCGCTGAGGTACCTCCTCTGCATCCTTATCATACAATCTGGACAGTGCATCAGCCACTTTATTTGTTGTCCCCTTTTTATACTGAATCTCATAGTCTAGTCCCAACAACTTAGCCAGCCATTTGTGCTGCAACGTGGTAGTAAGTTTCTGGTCTAACAAGTATTTCAGAGACTGGTGGTCTGTTTTGATAACAAAGTGATATCCCAGCAGGAAATGTCTCCACTTAGATACTGCCATCACTAATGCCAACAGCTCCTTTTCATAGGCTGACAATCCCAAGTTCCTGGGTGATACAGCTTTACTCAAGAATGCTATGGGGTGGCCTTCCTGCATTAGCACTGCTCCTATCCCTCCCCCACTAGCATCAGTTTCAATAGTGAAAGTTTTCTTGAAGTCTGGCAGTCTAAGTACAGGAGCCTTACACATAATGCTCTTTAGTGAATCAAACGCTTGTTGTGCCTCTGCCTTCCATACAAAGTTGTCTTTCCTGAGCAGATCTGTAAGTGGCCTGCAGATGACTCCATAGTGCCTGATGAACCTCCTGTAGTAACCAGTCAGCCCCAGGAAGCCCCTTAACTCCTTTATAGTCTTAGGAGTAGGCTAGTGCATAATACTTTCTATTTTTGACAGATCCATGGATACTTCATTTTCAGTGATGGTGTGCCCAAGGTACTCCACCCTCTGCTGGGCAAAGGAGCACTTAGACCTCTTAGCAAATAAACTATGCTTCCTCAAGACAGATAGTACTGTTTTCAGATGCTCCACATGCAACTCAAGCGTAGCACTGTAAACTAGGATGTCATCAAAAAATACCAGAACAAATTTCCTTAAGTATGGTTGAAAGATCTGGTTCATCGGGGACTGGAAAGTTGCTGGTGCGTTGGTCAGTCCAAAGGGCATGACCAGAAACTCGTAGTGCCCACAGTGAGTTTGAAAAGCAGTTTTATGAGTATCCTTGGGTTTGACTCTGATTTGGTGGTAACCAGAGGTGAGATCCAGCTTGGTTTTATACCTGGATCCTGCTAACTCATTGATTAGTTCATCCACATTTAGGATAGGATAACTATCTTTAATGGTCATTTCATTCAAACGTCTGTAATCTACGCAAAAACGCCATGTGCCTTCCTTCTTCTTAACCAGTAGAACTGGTGAAGCAAATGGACTATTACTGTTAATGATTATCCCATGTTGCAGCATCTCCTTAACCTGTCTTTCAATCTCCCCTTTCTGTGAATGAGGATATCTATAAGGTCTCATTTTAAAAGCCTGAGACCCCTGTTTCAAGGGAATCTCATGGTCTATCTCCCTGGTGGGAGGTAACTCAGTTGGGCTCTGAAACACATCAGTGAAGTCCTTAAGGACCTGCTGAACCTTAGTAGGCACCTCAGAATTTTCAGGTAACTTTTCTTGTCCCATCTTCAGGGCCAGGCACACTTGTTTCTTATATTCAATGAAGTGCCTCAGGTCACTTCCCCTGATGAGATCCAATTCACAGTCTTCTGCTTGTCCCCTCAGTTGCACAACCTCCCCTTGATTATGCAAGGAAATTATCAACTGATGAAAGTCAAACGTAATGGGGCTAAAATGAGTCATCCAATCTACTCCGAGTATCATATCCCACCCACTTAAGTCCATCACCTTAAGATCAAAACAAAATTTATGTTGGTTAATCCCCCAGATCACCTTGGGGCAGACAGCCTTGCCAGTCACACAGGCTCCATTCCCCACGACCACTGAAAATGGTTCTACCAAATGGTAAGGGATGTCATATGCAATCACTTTCTCACTACTAATGTAACTATCTGAACTTCCTGTGTCCACTAATATGAGCATGTCTTCTCCATCCCACTTCCCTACCAATGTAATTGTCTTCCTTTTCATGGCTTCTGACAGAGCATGCAGGGACATTTCCATGACTTGTCCTGGATTCCCTGTGGACTCATCTTGCTCTCCTACAGCATCTTCAAACTCGATTTCCTCCTCTTCATCCTGAATCAACAAGTTTAACTGGCCAGATTTGCATTGATGACCCTGTCCAAACTTCTCTCCACACTTGAAACAAAGTCCATGGTTCCTTCTGTATTGAACCTCCTCTGCTGAGAGTCTCCTAGATTCAGCACCTGAAGTAGTCATTGTTTTACCCTTGAATGGAGTATTCCTGAAGGGGCTTGTGGAAGGAACCCTATAATGAGAACTGCTGATCTGGTGTTGGGAAGAGTTCATCGAAAT